TGATGAGGTATCATGCTCAATGTGATCAACCACTATTTTATTCTCCAAACTGCATTGAAAATCACTAATTCCAATGGTTTGAAAAGCTTGTTCAAATGCTTCTTACTACACGTGACGTCACCTAATTAATCCCGGTTTTAGTTTAATCAAAGTCATACGGAATGTGGAAGTTCTTTCGTCTCCCTTAGCTTTTTTTTCTTGGTGTTTAAGCTTCCCTCATTATGATTGAACATGTCATTTCCTTAGTTTTGCAAAAACTACTAGCTACAACCATGTTCTTCTTTCATCATGCATGCATGGTCGATGCATTTGAAAAGAAATTGGGAAGAAAGTAGGATGACTTGAAAGTTCAATCTAGCTCTTATCAAATCTTACACACCAAGTTTAAATGTAGACTTTAAAACCTTCATTTTCTCATGTAGGAGAAAGGGATAAGGAAGGAATCTTGTTTTCAAATACCCCCAAATTACCTTGTTTAATGCTTACACAACCCTTTGTGCCCTTTTGATTCAAATTCTTCCTTTGAATGTGAATTGTGACCCAGCAATATTGGCTTTAGGGGTTTGAATTATTTTGCTTCAAACTCTGGCTACTTAACATCTGATTTCATAAAATGTCTCTACCTAGGAATTACATCTTCTAAGTTGACTTAGAGAAACCCTAATCATATTGATGTAATAAATGTGATAATTGACATGGTGGATTTTGGTGGAGCAGGTCATGTGGGCATGAAGATATTCTTGGAACTTAGTTCAGGATGGTGCCGGGATGAGTTTGTCCCTTATCTCTGCCTGATGGAGCTTAGGCATATATCCCTCATGTGATTGTTTCACTTTATGCATGTGGTTTTGTATCCCCCTTTTCTACAATCCTTTCAATTTCATCCATCACAATCACTCTCCCCTATCATAATAATTTCAAAACTATACATAAAATCATGCTCATGTATATATATTTATACATATGACATGTTTTTCTCTAGACTTGCTATATCGTACCAGTGCCTTATAGATCTTATTTACAAAAATGATAAAAGAAGATTTATCATAAAATTTGTGTGGATACAATAAATTCTTCTATAAATATAATTTTAATACAAATTAATTTACACAAACAATTAAATTATTGGGGTGTAGACTTTTTTTTCTCTTCTTCATATGCAAGCAAAGCACTTCTCTTATGTCCACATTTTAATTTTACAAAACTATATTTCTATTGTTATTGATATCTCTCTCTTTATTCTTCCTGTTTTCTTTTCTTTTTCCTTTTTTTTTTTTTTATCCTCATCAAATCCCAATTGCCTACATATTCTCAAGCCAGCATCTTGTTTCTTGCCGAGTTGCTTTCTAATGGTTAAAAAAACAATTAATTACAAGTAGGCAATGATTTTTCGACATTGGAATCGAGCTCTGTAAAATAAAATATTTGGACAAAATAATGAGATTTTAATTTAAAATTAGAGAAATTAAAAATTTTACAGTAAAGAATTGCCAATAAAAC